CTTTACGTCTGGAGGAAAAGAAATGTAATATCCAAACACGGAAAGGTTTCTTCAAAGTGAGAGCTGTGAAAATGTGGAATAGACTCCCTCAAGAGTTGGTTCTGGCCAGCTCAGTGGATTGCTTCAAAAAATGCCTGGATTCTTTCTTGGATACACAGAATATAACTGGATACTAACATTTATATTTAAAGTTGATCCAGGGAATATCCAATTGCCTCTCTGGGGATCAGGAAGGAATGTTTTCCCAGCAGGAGCAAATTGGATCATGCTTTGCTGGCTTTTTTTGTCTTCTTCTGGATCAACTGTGGGTATAGGATTATAACGTTTTTTTAATATGGTTGAACTGGGTGGACTTTTGGCTTTTTTTAGCCAGACTAACTATGAAACTATGTAACTATGTGAGTACGCCTCATATATCATAGCTGTGCAGAGATGAACCAGGAAAAAAAATAGCCTCTGACCTGAGAGAAAAGGAGATCTGACTTTTTCTTTCATCACCAAATGCTTGTTTTGTCTGTGGCTCAGAGGCATTAAAGTCAGACACAGCTAGGCATTTAGCATTTTCAGAAGGAGGTCAGCCATGGCATCCAATTATGTGCACAGAAGTGTTTTTATCCCAATTCCCTGTTCATGATCTCTGCTAATCAGAGCTTTTTTAACTTCTTAGTAAATTAGCTGCTCTTGTTAAAGGGGAACTTCACCCAAAACCGCATGTAACACTTGTTTGCATCCTCCCCCCCTCCACTGCCACATTTGGAACTTTTTGCAGAGGAGCAGGCACCTGGTTTTGATAGGTACCTGTTCCCACTTCTTGTCAGATCGCCACATCTGTGCAGAAGTTTGACCCCCTCCTCCTTCCTCCCACAACCTACTGAGACACATCACAGGACCCAGAAGACTGTGGGACCATTCACAAAGCGCAGCGTGGCTTGCGCATGCGTAGTAGGAACCTGGCTTCATTGCTGGTTCCCCTTACCAAAGGTGGCAGCCCCTGCACCCGAAGCCAATTGAAGAATTGGCTCAAGTAAGGATATTGCTGGATAACTGGACAGGTAAATGTCCTTATACAAACCAGTTCCCACCCACTCTATAGCCAAAAGACAGCTACAGCATGGTTGGCTAGTTCTGGGAGGGTGTCCATGGGTGTCCTCCCAGGACCACACCCTCCACGTGCCCCCTGGGGCATGTACTGCGCGATCTGTGATTGCTGTGTCCTTCGAACACAGCTGATCACATAACTAAGGAAGGTGCCAATCACAGCCACTTTTACCATGTGACCAGCTGCGTCCAATCACAGCTGATCACAGGGTAGGTAGGAAATGCCGTTATCAGCAGTCCTCTCCTGACTCTGACAGCACGTGAGGAGCGGAGAGCCGGTAAGTGGCATTTCGCAGGGGGACATCTACACTCATCATCAGGGCACTGATCATCAGTGTCCTGGTGATCAGTGTAGCCCATCAGTGCGGCCAATAGTGCCCATCAGTACCCATGTGTGCTGGTAATCAGTGCCCATCAGTTGAATCAGTGCCACCTAACAGTGCCCATCAGTGCTGCTTATCAGTGCCCAGTGCCGCCTATCAGTGCCCAATGCTGCCTAACAGTGCCCATCAGTGAAGGAGAAAATTTACTTATTTACAAAACATTACAACATAAGCGAAGAAAAACTTTTTTTTTTTTTTTAATTTTTTGGTCTTTTTTTGTTTGTTTAGCAAAAAATAAAAAACCCCAGTGGTGATAAAATACCACCAAAAGAAAGCTCTATTTGTTTAAAAAAAAATGCTGAAAATTTAGTTTGGGTACAGCATTGCAAGACCACACAATTGTTATTCAAAATATGAGAGCTGAAAATTCAAAGCTGAAACTTGGTCTGGGCAGGAAGGGGGTAAAAGTGCCCGGTAGGCAAGTGGTTAAGTCCGCAGCTACAGTATTTGTAGCTGATGACTTTAATTTTTTTGGTGGGGGAGACTGGAGCTCCTCTTTAAGTATTTAAAAAAAAAAAAAAATCATTCAATGCTATGCGTTTTATAGGTCAGTTGAAATTATACTGTATATGGCAAAATGAATAACCATATACAAATACACTATATTACCAAAAGTATTGGGACACCCCTCCAAATCATTGGATTCAGGTGTTCTAATCACCTCCATGGCCACAGGTGTATAAAATCAAGCGCCTAGGCATGTAGACTGCTTCTGTAAACATTTGTGAAAGAATGGGTCGCTGTCAGGAGCTCAGTGAATTCAAGCGTGGTACCGTGATAGGTTGCCACCTGTACAATAAGTCCATCAGTGAAATTTCCTTGCTACTAAATATTCCACAGTCAACTGTTAGTGGTATCAACAACAAAGTGGAAGCAACTGGGAACAGCAACTCAGCCACGAAGTGGTAGGTCACGTAAAATGACAGAGCGGGGTTACCTACATTGCCAAGTGAAATGCAAAGTGTCGGATGCAATGGTGTAAAGCACGCCGCCACTGGACTCTGGAGCAGTGGAGATGTGTTCTCTGGAGTAACGAATCACACTTCTCTGTCTCACAATCTCATGGACATGTGTGGGTTTGGTGGTTGCCAGGAGAACAGTACTTGCCTGACTGCATTGTGTCAAGTGCAATGTTTGGTGGAGGGGGGATTATGGTGTGGGATTGTTATTCAGGGGTTGGCTTGGCCCCTTAGTTCCAGTGAAAGGAACTCTTAAGGCGTCAGCATACCAAGACATTTTTGACAATTTCGTGTTGCCAACTTTGTGGAAACAGTTTGGGGATGGCCCCTTCCTGTTCCAACATGACTGCGCACCAGTGCACAAAGCAAGGTCCAAAAAGACATAAATGAGCGAGTTTGGGTTGGAAGAACTTGACTGGCCTGCACAGAGTCCTGACCTCAACCTGAAAGAACACCTTTTGAATGAATTAGAGTGGAGACTGTGAGCCAGGCCTTCTTGTCCAACATCTGTTCCTGACCTCACAAATGCTCTTCTGGAAGAATGGTCAAACATTCCCATAGACACACTACTAAACCTTGTGGACAGCCTTCCCAGAAGAGTTGAAGCTGTTATAGCTGTAAAGGGTGGGCCAACTCAATATTGAACCCTATGGACTAAGATTGGGATGCCATTAAAGTTCATCTGCGTGTAAAGGCAGGCGTCCCAATACTTTTGGCAATATAATGTACTGTACATCACTTAATAGTGGAAATTCTAAACAAAAATGAAAACACTTAGTAGCACTATACTCGCCTTCACTCCAGTGATGCAATGTCTACAGGCTCCCTCGATGGTGCTGACATCCTGTACCCAGTTCCATTTGGGATCTTGATTGTTTGGCCTTGGATGATGTAACTCATATGCATAATCGCGGTAGTTCATTCATGCCAACACCCAGCAGAAAGACTGAAGATTGTAAACATGATGATTAGAAGCGGTTTTTAAATTTGTTTTTCAAACAGCTGTAGGTAAGCCAGCCGTACACTTTCAGAATGTTAGCCAATACCTGAAGAATCAGCCAATATTGTAATTGTGGATGGCTCTGTTGGGAACCCCCACTCGACAAAAGTAGATTTTTCAGTCGACTTTTGTAGATGGAACTGGTCTGAAATATTTAGCCGAACAGTGATTGCAACCCATCAGATGAAAGCACTGTGCAGGTATTTAGCAGCAAAATACAATAGCCAACATCTGTAATTCCTCCATCTATACCAATTAGCATGGATGTGGAATCAATTAATTTGTGTGTGGCCAGTTTTGCACTTTTTAGGCAAGCCATAAATGTTTCATTTTTTTTTTCGTTTAACCAGTAGGTTGAACGAATAGAATGAACCGGTTCTCCCATCCAGACATTGTTGTGGATGGGGGAACCCATCTCTCTGAGCTATTGTATTCCGACAGCAGGATCCACTGATACAATGGTCAGAGTTGTTGGCTATAGCCAGCAGCACTGATCATTCAGGGAAAAACCTGACAGGCTGGCTGTACACAAGTCAATTGATTGATGGACTTGTGTACAACCAGCTAGACTGTACATGGATTGAAATTCAGCTGGTTCTGCTGAACTGGCCAAATTTTGATCCATGTGTGGCCGGTTTTACCCTGTTGAAGTCATAGAATTATATAAAATGTCAAACAATATATTACCAGCCTCTGTTTGCTGTTACAGGGTCTATACAGTATATATGATGGTGCAAACCAATAGGTACTAGAGTCTGACCTAGTGCTGTCACTAATCTACAAATTTATATGAAGAAAAAGGTATCCAAATGAATTTCCAAGTTAAAATCAATAGGAGATAAAAAGGAGTGGGACTTGTGCTGAGCTTTCAACATCTCATTAGTGCTTGGATGGTAGCATACTGTAGATTCTTGTTTCTTCATGACAAATTTCGAATAGAATAGGCCAGGATCTGTGGTATGAAATTTTATTCATCAAGGAAAAGTACACAGTAATTGGCACAGGAAAAATCTAATACTGGTTTAATGAAGTGGAAATTTTCCTCAGGCTTATATCCCTGATATGTATTACAAAACTGAATTCCCATGTGCCCTCTCTCAGGAGACATTTGTCTTCTGGGGGAAATGAAACACCATCTGGGTACATACAGTGTCACAAATAATTATCTATTGACTGTAGTTATATATTTGGACTCTTTTCCAATTGTGCAAATCCACAATTTCTGCCCGATGGCACTCGGCCATATTGCTAAGTATTGAATGAAACCCTCAGTAGACAGCAGTACAACATTTCCCTTGTAATCTAAGCAAACTCTTGCACTGCTGGAACAGTACATAGACAGATCTGCCTGCCTAGGGAGATTCACTTGTCACCACTGGCTCCTTTCTACATAGCCGACTTTATTTCAAACACTCATATCCTCATAAAATGACCCCAATACACAATCGTTTGTGTAAATCATTAAAGGGAACCTTTGCATGGTATGTGAGCAGGTGTTTGGACTTTAGGGATGTATTAGTACAGGCTAGCTTTTGTTCCCAGAAAACACCAAGACGCTGCTCATGCTGTGTGTGAATCGCTTTCATCGCTAACATCAGAATGGGCTTTAATAATATGGCTAACATTTGGAAGTACAGAGTCCACATGGACGTCCTCGTCATCTGATTGGATAACTGGTGACTCCTCTCCGTCTTCACTGTTTTCCTGACTGGCTGAATCAGTGCATGTAGAGGACAGCGAGGACAGTTTCTGTCGAAGCTCTGCTTGGCTGGGGACCTGAAGAGTGATTTCATTGCGGCAGGAATCAAAATCAGGGCCTTCAACATGAGGAGAGAGCACAAAAGAGGGGTTGTTAGAAAACATATTTATAAGGTGGAATTAAAGTCAGTTATAATTCTGTAGGTAATGGCTCATTCACAATGCCTGTGCACGAAAACACTCAGGGGTTTATTTACTAAAGAGTCCAAAATCCGGTGCACGTCTGCAAAGAAACCAATCAGCTTCCAGGTTTTATTGCCAAAGCCTAACTAAACAAGCTGAAGTTAGAAGCTGATTGGCTACCATGCACAGCTGCACCAGATTCTGAGTGCTCCAATTTTAGTAAATCTCCCCATCAGTTTCCATCTTGTACTGTAGCAATGTATAAATGTACAATAAAGATCTCCTACAGTATATGTACCAGTCATATACAGGAAGCTCGCTGATAATTTGAAGACCCTGAAATAAGCAGGGTATATATACAAGGACCAAAAATTGTCAGAAACCAGCCAACTTTCAGTCCGTGTGTACTGCTGACTGTTCAACAGAAGCCGGTTTAACGATCAACTTCAGTTGGAAAACCAGCGTTTGATCAGCACTTTCAGCCAATGGTTCCGGTGCTGATCTGTGTATTCTGATGGGGAGAGTCCCCGCTGTCAGAATGAAAAGACACAGAGGAAGAGATCCCTGCATCCACATTGTTTTTGTTGATGCCGGGAAATCTGTCAGATTTTTAAGTTCAACATTTTGGTTGTATAAAAAAAATGCCACCCTTTTTCTTTCCCCCCTTCCCCCCACCCATGGATTTCTTGATAAAAAGTGTAAGTACAGAATGGTCTTTTCCATCTGGGTCTGATGTATTTCACATTACATGTCTAATGACAGACACCTTCATGGCATAAAGTTCTCATTCTAATTTACTTGCTGCAGGTGCTCAGCTGTCGGTGAAGAATGTGTCAAGTGAGGTTTTAACAAGCTTTCCTATGGCCCAGAGCAGGATTATTTGTGATAACATTATCCAGTGTATTTACTGTAATATATTGCTAAAGAACAACTGTAGTCTACAAAAAGATGCATGGTTGCAATGCAGTCAATGAGCTATAAAACTTTGAACAAACATACAGTGGGGATCGAAAGTTTGGGCACCCCAGCTAAAAATTTGTATTAATGTGCATAAAGAAGCCAAGGAAAGATGGAAAAATCTCCAAAAGGCATCAAATTACAGATTAGACATTCTTATAATATGTCAACAAAAGTTAGATTTTATTTCCATCATTTACACTTTCAAAATAACAGAAAACAAAAAAAATGGCGTCTGCAAAAGTTTGGGCACCCTGCAGAATTTATAGCATGCACTGCCCCCTTTGCAAAGCTGAGACCTGCCAGTGTCATGAATTGTTCTCAATCATCGTCTGGGAAGACCACCAGTGATGTCAATCTCAAAGGTTTTAAATGCCCAGACTCATCTGACCTTGCCCCAACAATCAGCACCATGGGTTCTTCTAAGCAGTTGTCTAGAAAACTAAAACTGAAACTGAAAATAGTTGACGCTCACAAAGCTGGAGAAGGCTATAAGAAGATAGCAAAGCGTTTTCAGATGTCAATATCCTCTGTTTGGAATGTAATTAAGAAATGGCAGTCATCAGGAACAGTGGAAGTTAAAGCAACATCTGGAAGACCAAGAAAAATATCAGACAGAACAGCTCGCAGGATTGTGAGAAAAAACAATTCAAAACCCACGTTTGACTGCACGATCCCTCCAGAAAGATCTGGCAGACACTGGAGTTGTGGTACACTATTCCACTATAAAGAGATACTTGTACAAATATGGTCTTCATGGAAGAGTCATCAGAAGAAAACCTCTTCTACGTCTTCACCACAAAAATCATCGTTTGAACTTTGCAAATGAACATATAGACAAGCCTAATGCATTTTGGAAACAAGTTCTGTGGACTGATGAGGTTAAAATTGAACTTTTTGGTCGGAATGAGCAAAGGTACGTTTGGAGAAGAAGGGGCACAGAATTTAATGAAAAGAACCTCTGTCCAACTGTTAAGCATGGGGTTGGATCAATCAAGCTTTGGGGTTGTGTTGCAGCCAGTGGCACAGGGAACATCTCTCATGAGTAGAAGGAAAAATGGATTCAATAAAATTTCAGCAAATTTTGGATGGTAACTTGATGCCATCTGTGAAAAAGCTGAAGGTAAAGAGAGGATGGCTTCTACAAATGGATAATGATCCTAAACACACCTCGAAATCCACGGGGGATTACATCAAGAGGCGTAAACTGAAGGTTTTGCCATGGCCTTCACAATCTCCTGACCTCAACATAATTGAAAATCTATGGATAGACCTTAAAAGAGCAGTGCGTGACAGAAAGCCCAGAAATCTCAAAGAACTGGAAGACTTTTGTAAGGAAGAATGGGCAAAGATACCTCAAACAAGAATTGAAAGACTCTTGGCTGGCTACAAAAAGCATTTACAAGCTGTGATACTTGCCAAAGGGGGCAGTACAAGATATTAACTCTGCAGGGTGCCCAAACTTTTGCAGACGCCATTTTTTTGTTTTCTGTTATTTTGAAAGTGTAAATGATGGAAATAAAATCTAACTTTTGTTGACATATTATAAGAATGTCTAATCTGTAATTTGATGCCTTTTGGAGATTTTTCCATCTTTCCTTAGCTTCTTTATGCACATTAATACAAATTTTTAGCTGGGGTGCCCAAACTTTCGATCCCCACTGTATATATCTGTTTATAAGAGAAATTCTTGTTCAAACCTTAGAGCAGCCCCATTACATTCAGGGTCATTGTTCTGAATGTCATCCTCACAGACAGCTAAACACACCTCTGGTGTCACTCTGCCATGAGACTTTGGCTCTGTGCAGACACTAATAAATAGGAGGTCAGTTAGTGATATCTGGAGGAACACTGGGGTTGCACAGAACACTGGCGGAGATGGACTGTCTTAGAGTGTACTTCCTTGCCCCTTTACTGTAGCAGATAGCGCTTACTCTGCTTACAGACTAAGTTCACATATGTGCGGGTAGTGCCACTACGGATCTGCACAAAAATCTGTGCACCTGCACCACCCACACAGAAGAATGCGGACCCCCGGGCAGGTGCCAATAATTCTAATGATGGGTGTATTCCAATCTGGAGGAGCAGGAACTCTGAGGCAGACTGAATTTGCATACAGACCAGACAGAGAACACACAAATGTGATGGTGATAGCAGAAAAGAAAAAAGATGGAAGAAAAGTGTTAAAGTATGTACACAAAGACAAGAATAGGAGGGTGGACTTTTAATATGTTTAAAATTACATTTTACTTAACACAACAGAAAAAGGGTGTTCACAGTTATAATTCCATATTTTATAACCTCATTTTAAGAGTCATTTTACACTCCTAGTTTTTATTCTGCCATTCCGTTGAATAACTTTCTAATATTTTTTTATAATAATTACACCATGTGGTAGGTTGTTTTAACTGAGTGATTTCAACACCAACTGGAAGTGGAAAACAGTAGCTCTCTATTCGACACATTTCCTAGAAAAAGAATTCTGCTCCTTGGGAGCACAACTGAAGTGATATTCTATAATAAAACATACATTATAAACAGCACACATGTAAGGTCTGATATGAGAACGAAATCTTATATGAGTCTCAGGTGTACTGCATGTTTGTGGTTACACCCCTACTATGGATTGACAGCATACGCCACCAGGAGACTGCCCCATGATATCCTTTGCCATTCACTACCATAGTAAGTGTGCGGCTTTGGTTTCTACGTATGCACACTGCAGGACCTAGGTCATGGCAGTACTGTTTGGTTATGGGCTAAGTATTTCCTATCATAAATTTAATTTACATGGGTGCCAGACCTGTTTTGTTTTAGATTCGGGGGGATTGGTCCATCTATTTATTAATCTATTATTTTAAGAACTGCCATACTTTTGGGTGCTCCATCTGATGTCTGGCTGTTATTGGGTGATAATTCGAGCGAATAATTTATGAAATCAGAATAGGATACTACATATCCTAAAGAGACAGCAAACAATCTATAATCACATATATTATATATATATATATATATATATATATATATATATATATATATATATATTTATATATATATATATATATGTGCAAAATGTTTATTACATTTTTTACCCTCCCTGCCTGGCCTTCTTTTGACCAAACATTTACAATTTTGATGATTTTGGAATTTTCTTGTATGATTAACTTATTTTAAAGTAATCACCTTTTGTTGCTTTGCAGCCTGAAATAAAGATAAACACAGTTTTTGTTTTATCAAGCTATAGTTACTCAGTACAACTGATAACATCCAAGTGAAAGATATAACACCAACATGTCAGAATTTTTTTTTTTTAATTCAAAAACAGAATAACTGAGTTGGAAAAAGAATCACCCCCTTGTGATTTTGCATTTTGTGGAACCACCTTTTGCTTTAGTTACAACCTTTAGCCTGTTGGGATATGTCTCTACTAACTTTGCACATCTAGACTTTGCAATATTTGCCCACTCTTCTTTACAGAACTGCTCAAGTTCAGTTAAACTTGATGGTGACCGTTTGTGGACTGCAGTCTTCAAGTCACTCCACAGATTTTCAGTGGGGTTTAGGTCTAGGCTCTGACTAGACCATGCAAAGACATTCACCCATTTCTCATTCAATCACGGTGTGGTCATTTTTGCTGTGTGGTTTGGGTGGGTCATTGTCATGTTGGAATAACCTCCTTCCTACTGACAACTTCCTGGCAGAAGGCAGCAGATTTTCCTGTTTGATGGTATTTTGCCCCATCTATTTTTCCTTCTGTCCTGACAAGTGCTCCAGTCCCTACTGCAGTAAAAAAAACACCTATAACAGGATATTATCATCTCCATGCTTTACTGTAGGAATGGTGTTATTTGTATGGTTAGCTGTATTGGATTTCTGCCAGACATATTGTTTAGTGTTGAGGCTAAATAATTCAATTTTAGTCTCATCTGACCATAACACCTTTTTTCCATGTGGCCTCAGAATCTTCAAGGTGGCAAAG